AATTCTATGGTATTGCTTTGGTTCCATGGTATTGCTTTGGTAGAGTATGCCAGTTTGAACCACTCTGCAGTTTACTGTAAGCTTTTGAGCCTTTAATTATACAAAGAATAGTCTAGGAGTTTGTTCAAAAGCATTTTTAGCTTTGAATTAAATCATTCCATTGGAAACTAATTATCTGATTCCTGAATTATTAACTTCATAAACTGGGCATGTTTATTTCTCTCAGAAACCTTACAACTGCAGTTTAATTCCATACCTCCATTTTTGCCAACTTTGAGGAAGATAATCAGAAAATAGATGATATGATCTCTAACAACATATTTTCTTTCAGGAAATACTCTGTTGCCACCATCAGAAATATTGTTTTTGTTATAATTTCTATACTTTCTTTAGCTATCTCTATTCACAAGTGTGGAGATTTCAATTATCAGAGAACCACTCCTATGTGTGTGTAGAGTTACACCTGACTTGTCGCGGCAAGGCTATCATGTTCCACATTGTGTCTTGCACAGTGATGAAAAAAACAACACTTCATTTCCTCTGAATCATTGCAATGTGTTTCCGTTGGTGGCAGTACAAGTGGTGGATGTTTTACAGCAACTGGAATCTTCCAGTGACATTGAGGTGGAGGTTCTCTTGAGACAGTTCAGCTTTCTTAATTGCATCTTTATGACAATAATATTTGTAGGTCAGTTTCAGAAATTATTTTAATAAATATACTTTTTGTTTTTAATTTAGTAGAGGACAATTCATTTGCAATTGGTTATTGTATTGTGATACATTTTATACAAGGCTTTTGTGGTAGACTTTTGTTTTGATTGTGATAATAAACCTCTGTTTTCTCATTAAATATTTAGAGGAGAATTCATTTGCAATAGGGTAGTGTATTTTAATCAATTTTATACAAGGCTTTTGTGGTAAACTTTAAGGCAGGATAATCAGCTATTTGAGCTTCCTAACACCTCCACTTGCAAGCTTTGTAATGTGTATCTCTATTTAGTTGTCTTTTTCTAATGGTTTCTTCTTGAAACATCAAGAATCTAGATGTTGTGTTATATTGTCACCTAATGATACTTGAGTTTTTAAGCATTTATTCAGAACAATTAAGAAGGACATGATTCTTGAAATTCACTTTTCAAATCGTTGAAAAAAAATAGTGAAATCAGTTCTGAATCAGTTTTCAAGCTTTGCTTTGACATATATTCTGAACAAAAGCAGTGCTATGGGATACCAATGAATTACAACTACTGTGATTGTCTGCTCTGTGGCTGTGTCAAAGTCACATGTACTGTACACAGCAGGGATGTATTGGTGTTTCAGGTAGCTGCTTTAATGTATACCTGCATGTATTTACAGGGATATATAGACCAACACCTGCATGTATTTACAGGGATATATAGACCAACACCTGCATGTATTTACAGGGATATATAGACCAACACCTGCATGTATTTACAGGGATATATAGACCAACACCTGCATGCTGCATGTATTTACAGGGATATATAGACCCACACCTGTATGTATTTACAGGGATATATAGATCCACACCTGCATATATTTACAGGGATATATAGACCCAACACCTGCATGGATATATAGACCCGCACCTGCATGTAATTATAGGGATATAGACACCTGCATGTAATTACAGGGATATATAGACCAACACCTGCATGTAATTACAGGGATATAGATAGACCAACTGTACCTGCATGTATTTACAGGGATATATAGACCAACACCTGCATATATATATTACACCTGCTTGGGATATATAGACCAACACCTGCATGTATATTACAGGGATATATAAGACCAACACCTACAGGGATATATAAAGCCCCACACCTGCATGTATTTACAGGGATATATAGACCAACACCTGCATGTATTTACAGGGATATATAGACCAACACCTGCATGTATTTACAGGGATATATAGACCAACACCTGCATGTATTTACAGGGATATATAGACCAACACCTGCATGTAATTACAGGGATATATAGACCAACACCTGCATGTATTTACAGGGATATATAGACCAACACCTGCATGTATTTACAGGGATATATAGACCAACACCTGTATGTATTTACAGGGATATATAGATCCACACCTGCATGTATTTACAGGGATATATAGACCAACACCTGCATGTAATTACAGGGATATATAGACCAACACCTGCATGTATTTACAGGGATATATAGACCAACACCTGCATATATTTACAGGGATATATAGACCCACACCTGCTTGTATTTACAGGGATATGTAGACCCACACCTGCATGTAATTACAGGGATATATAGACCAACACCTGCATATATTTACAGGGATATATAGACCAACACCTGCTTGTATTTACAGGGATATATAGACCCACACCTGCATGTAATTACAGGGATATATAGACCAACACCTGCATATATTTACAGGGATATATAGCCCAACACCTGCATGTAATTACAGGGATATATAGACCCACACCTGCATGTATTTACAGGGATATATAAACCCACACCTGCATGTATTTACAGGGATATATAGACCAACACCTGCATGTATTTACAGGGATATATAGGCCAACACCTGCATGTATTTACAGGGATATATAGACCAACACCTGCATGTAATTACAGGGATATATAGACCAACACCTGCATGTATTTACAGGGATATATAGACCAACACCTGCATGTATTTACAGGGATATATAGACCAACACCTGTATGTATTTACAGGGATATATAGATCCACACCTGCATGTATTTACAGGGATATATAGACCAACACCTGCATGTGATTACAGGGATATATAGACCAACACCTGCATGTATTTACAGGGATATATAGACCCACACCTGCTTGTATTTACAGGGATATGTAGACCCACACCTGCATGTAATTACATGTAATTACAGGGATATATAGACCAACACCTGCATGTATTTACAGGGATATATAGTCCCCAATGTAACTGCATGTGTAGTTTACAGGGATATATAGACCAATGCCTGCATGTAATTACAGGGATATATAGACCAACACCTGGATCTATTTATATATTGCCTTCATGATACAGGGATATATGACCAACATGCTTGTGTTTACAGGATATATAGTGAGTAATTTAATATTAGACCAACAATCTGCACATTTACAGGGATATTTCCTGGACCATATTGTGAGCACGATACTGCTGTTTAAGACATCAGGAGAGTTTTTGAGACCTTATGAAACAAGTCCCACCACCAAATTGCTTGTTTGGATCAGACTGTTTAGGATCAGCAGCAGGGAGTCAGTATGACTTCATACATATTGTACATCAAATGATTTCTCTCAAGGCCATTCTATACACGACAAACACATAGTTTATTATGCATAGACTTCCATGACCCATTCAGTTTAAAGGAAGGAATTATCTCACAACAATTATTATCAAATATGTTGCATACCATAGTAGGTTGATTCTGTATGTGTGTTTTATATATGTGTAATCATAACCGAAAAGAACATATGCTGATAATATAATGACTACTGTTTGTTCCTCGGAGTTGTATTGTATGTAGACAGTCTCTGTATAGCACCATTCCCTCTCTCCCTACCTCTCACTCCACCATCACCACCCTTCATACCCTCTCTCCCTACCTGCCACTCCACCATCACCACCCTTCATACCCTCTCTCCCCTACCTCTCACTCCACCATCACCATCCCTTCATACCCTCTCTCCCCTACCTCTCACTCCCACCATCACCACCCTTCATACCCTCTCTCCCCTACCTGTCACTCAACCACCCACACCTCCTTCTCCATAATCCCTCTCTCCCTACCTGTCCTCCACCACCCCCACCCTTCACACCCCTCTCCTCCACCCCTTCTTCCCTCTTTCCATCTGTCCTCCACCATTATCCTCCTCCATGCCCTCTGTCCTGGGTCCATCCTCCTCCACCCTTCCTTCACCCTCCACCTGTCCTCCACCACCATTCCATCTCCATCTGTCCTTCCATTTCCTTCTCTTCCTGTCCTCCTGTCCTTCTTCACCTCTTCCTGTCCTCCACCACCTTCCTTCCCTCCATCTTCCTCCTGTCCACCTTCCTTCCCTCTCTCCATCCTCCACTCCATCTCCCTCCCTTCCATCTGTCCTCCTTCCCCTTCCACCTGTCCACCTCCACCCTCCTCTTCCTGTCCACTCCTTCCTTCCCTCTCCCTGTCCTCCGGCCCTTCTTCACCCATCCTTCCTCCACCTTCCTTCCACTGTCCTCCACCCTTCCATACCCTGTCCATCCACCACCCTTCTTCATACCCTCTCCTTCCTTTTCCTCCTTCCATACCCTCTATCTGTCCTCTTCCACCCCTCCCACTCTCCTCCTCCTTCCTCTCCCTCCACCCATTCCACCACCTACCCTCCTGTCCACCTTCCTTCCCTCTTGTCCTTCCTGTCCTTCCTTCCCTTCCTTCCCTACCCTGTCCCTCCACCCTTCCTTCCTCCTGTCTGTCCTCCTTCCACCCTCTACCCTCTGTCCTTCCATCCACCCTTCCTATCTGTCCTCCATCCACCTTCCATACCCTCCTCCTCCTCCACTCCTTTCATCCATACCCTCTCCTATCTGTCCTCCACCTTCCATACCCACTCTGTCCTTTCCTCCTTCCTTCCCTGTCCTGTCCATTCACTCCTTCCTTCCACCTGTCACTCCTCCACCTGTCCACCCTCCTCTGTCCTCCTTCCTCTATCTTCTTCCTTCTTCCTCCACCCTCCTCCACTCTCTTGTCCATTCCTCCTCCTTCCCTCTCTCCTGTCCTTCCTTGTCCTTCATGCCTCCCTCCTGTCCTTCATCCTCCTGTCCACTCCTTCCTTCTCCTCCTGTCCATTGGTCCTTCCTTCCACATGCCTGTCTCCTCCACTCCTGTCCTTCCTTCTTCATTCCATTCATGCCCTCTTACCTGTCCTCCTTTCTTCTTCCTCCTTCCTGGCTGTTCCGTCCACTCCTTCATACCCTTCCACTGTCCTCCTCCACCCTCCATCTGTCCACTCCTTCACCCTTCCTGTCCTTCCTCCTTCCTTCATACCCTCCTCCTGTCCTTCCATCCTCCTGTCCTCCACCCTTCCTTCCTTCCTCCTTCCTCCACCTGTCCTTCCTTCCACTGTCCACTCCTTCCTTCCTCCTGTCCACTCCACCTTCCCCATTCCACTCCTCTGTCCACCTCCTTCCATACCCTCCTGGGTCCTGTCCTCCTTTCCTCCATTCCACCTTCCTACCCTGTCCTCCACCACTCATTCCTCTCCACCTGTCCACACCTTCTTCCTTCCACTTCCTGTCCATCCTCCACCCTTCCTCTCCCTCTCCATGTCCTCCTTCCATACCCCTCCTGTCCTCCTCCTCCTTCCTTCCTGTCCTCCTCCTTCCTTCCTTTCCTCCTCTCCTCCATCTTTCCTTCCATACCCTCTCCTGTCCACCACTCCACCATCCATTGTCCATACCCTCATTCCTGCCACCTGTCCACCCTTCCTTTTCCTCTCTCCTTCCATCCACCCTTCCATTTCCTCCCTATCTGTCCTCCACCTCCTTCCTTGACCTCCTCCCTCCTGTCCTCCTTTCATCCACCTTCCTCTCACCTGTCCTCCTTCCTCCACTCCTGTCCTCCTTCATGCCTCCACCTGTCCATCCTTCCATCCTCCTGTCCATCCTCCACCCTCCTCCTCCTGTCCACCATTCCTTCCACCTGTCCTGTCCATTCCATGCCTGTCCTGTTCCGTGTGCCTCTCCTTCCTTCATGCCCTGTCCTCCATCATGCCTTCCTCCTCCATTCCATGCCCTCCTCGGGTGTCCTTCGGTGCGTGTCCTCGGGTCCTCCTTCCTCTGTCCGTCCTCCACCCTTCCTTCATGCCTTTCATCCGTCCTTCCTCCTGTCCTCCACCTCCGTTGGTCTTCCTCCGGTCCTTGTCCACTGTCCACATCGTTTTTCCTTCCTCCTCCATCCGTTCCTCCATCTCCTTCCGTGTTCTTTATGGTCGGCTTCCTCCGGGTCCGTTGTTCCGTTCCTCCGGTCCTCCTGTCCCCTCCTTCCATCCGTCCGTTTCCTCCCTCCATTCCGGTATTCCTCGGGTCTCCGTCCTCCTCTCCATCCTCCGCTCCGGGTTTCCGGCCTCCGTTCCGTTCCATCCTTCCTCCTCCGGCTCCGGCAGTTCCGTTTTCCGTTCCGTTCCGTTCCTCCGTTCCTCCGTTGTCTCCTCCATTTCCATCCGTTCCGTTCCTCCGTGTTCCGTTTTCCTCGGTCCGTTCCGTCTCCCTCCATTTTCCCTTCCTCCGTGGTCTCCGTCCTCCGTCCTCCACTCCTGGCTTCCACTGGCTACGTCCGTTTGTCCCTCCGTGTTAAAAGGTGCCATTATTACATGGTTCCTCCACACGACAAGCACCGTCCTCCCTGTCCCCACTCCCCTACCCCTCTTTCTCCCTCCGTGTTAAAGGTGCCATTATTACTGGTTCCTCCTAGTCCAACACCGCTCTCCTGTCTCCCTCCCCTACCCCTCTCCCCACACTTTAGCTACATCAAGTTTCAACCTCCGTGTTAAAGGTGCCATTATTACTGGTTCCTCCAGTCCAACACCGTCTCCTGTCTCCACTCCCCTACCCCTCTCCCCACACTTTAGCTACATCAAGTTTCTCCCTCCGTGTTAAAGGTGCCATTATTACTGGTTCCTCCAGCCCAACACCGTCTCCTGTCTCCAGCTCCCCTACCCCTCTCCCCACACTTTAGCTACATCAAGTTTCTCCCTCCATGTTAAAGGTGCCATTATTACTGGTTCCTCCAGTCCAACACCGTCTCCTGTCTCCACTCCCCTACCCCTCTCCCCCCACACTTTAGCTACATCGCCCAAGTTCCTCCCTCCATGTTAAAGGTGCCATTATTACTGGTTCCTCCAGCCCAACACCGTCTCCTGTCTCCACTCCCCTACCCCTCTCCCCACACTTTAGCTACATCAAGTTCCTCCCTCCGTGTTAAAGGTGCCATTATTACTGGTTCCTCCAGCCCAACACCGTCTCCTGTCTCCACTCCCCTACCCCTCTCCCCACACTTTAGCTACATCAAGTTTCTCCCTCCATGTTAAAGGTGCCATTATTACTGGTTCCTCCAGCCCAACACCGTCTCCTGTCTCCACTCCCCTACCCCTCTCCCACACTTTAGCTACATCAAGTTTCTCCCTCCATGTTAAAGGTGCCATTATGACGGGTTCCTCCACCCCAACACCGTCTCCTGTCTCCACTCCCCTACCCCTCTCCCCACACTTTACCTACTGAATGGAATAACTGCGTAGTTGCCCCTCCTCTTGGAGCAACACCAGCTGTACCCCATGTGTGGAGGAGGCCACCATGCCGGCCCGTCAGCCTCGTCCCTGGGTCGTTCTGACATCCGTTCTATCTCGCTTTTCATTGTGCATCATTGGAAATCTGGGGGGTGATAACAAAGTAACATGTTTTTATCAACGTAGATCAACAGCAAAAATAGTTTACCAAAACAGTTTTGCTTACTTCATTCATTTTAATGTTTTTAAAGGGATTATGTCAAATTCCAAACATTGTCTAGTGTTTTCCTGTCTTGATATATAGCATATGTCTTATTTTGTGTAAAGATTTCATAATACATCAGAATGTGTTTGATTTAAATTTTCGGTAAAAAAATGAAATTTGGGAATAAAGTTTATATAAGACATTTTGTTTGTTACTGAAACAAACTAACCCATGAATATTTTAATGAAGTAAGAAGATATGCTTATGTTACTCATGTCTATTCTCTGTTTGTTTATATGTCAATCCTGTGTTTGACATAATATATAAACATTTTGCGGCAATCATGTATATCAAATTTCTTGAAAACAATTAAAGAATACACTCAGTTACATCAAAAACATACATTTTTTCAATTCATTCTATACATACGAAGCCACAGACAAATTCAATAGCAAGATTAAGGCTTGTCAAAGGCACTTTATAACCAGAGTATTTATTTCGAATTATTCTGGTTCAAAGTGAATTTGAAGGATGAGCAAAATGCAAAATACTTGAAGAGTGTTTTCTGTGAGTCTGGAGCTATGTTACCTGTACAGTGTTTTCATATCGAGCTGTGTTACCTGTATGGTGTTGTTAGTGTAGGGCTATGTTACCTGTATGGTGTTTTCAGTGTAGAGCTATGTTACCTGTATGGTGTTTTCAGTATAGCTCTATGTTACCTGTATGGTGTTTTCAGTGTAGAGTTATGTTACCTGTACAGTGTTTTCAGTGTAGAGCTATGTTACCTGTATGGTGTTTTCAGTGTAGAGTTATGTTACCTGTACAGTGTTTTCAGTGTAGAGCTGTGTTACCTGTATGGTGTTTTCAGCGTAGTGTTATGTTACCTGTATGGTGTTTTTAGTGTAGAGTTATGTTACCTGTATGGTGTTTTAGTGTTATGTTACCTGTATGGTGTAGTAGAGCTATGTTACCTGTATGGTTTTTTAGTGTAGAGCTATGTTACCTGTACAGTGTTTTCAGTGTAGAGCTATGTTACCTGTATGGTGTTTTTAGTGTAGAGCTATGTTACCTGTATGGTGTTTTTAGTGTAGAGCTATGTTACCTGTATGGTTTTTTAGTGTAGAGCTATGTTACCTGTATGGTGTTTTCAGTGTAGAGCTAAGTTACCTGTATGGTGTTTTCAGTGTAGAGCTATGTTACCTGTATGGTGTTTTCAGTATAGCTCTATGTTACCTGTATGGTGTTTTCAGTGTAGAGTTATGTTACCTGTACAGTGTTTTCAGTGTAGAGCTATGTTACCTGTATGGTGTTTTCAGTATAGCTCTATGTTACCTGTATGGTGTTTTCAGTGTAGGGCTATGTTACCTGTGCAGTGTTTTCAGTGTAGAGCTGTGTTAACTGTATGGTATTTTAGTGTAGAGCTGTGTTACCTGTACAGTGTTTTCAGTGTAGAGCTATGTTACCTGTATGGTGTTTTCAGTGTAGAGCTATGTTACCTGTACAGTGTTTTCAGTGTAGAGCTATGTTACCTGTATGGTGTTTTCAGTGTAGAGTTATGTTACCTGTACAGTGTTTTCAGTGTAGAGATATGTTACCTGTATGGTGTTTTCAGTGTAGAGCTATGTTACCTGTATGGTGTTTTTAGTGTAGAGATATGTTACCTGTACAGTGTTTTCAGTGTAGAGCTAAGTTACCTGTATGGTGTTTTCAGTGTAGAGCTAAGTTACCTGTATGGTGTTTTCAGTGTAGAGCTATGTTACCTATATGGTGTTTTCAGTGTAGAGCTGTGTTACCTGTATGGTGTTTTCAGTGTAGAGCTATGTTACCTGTATGGTGTTTTTAGTGTAGAGATATGTTACCTGTACAGTGTTTTCAGTGTAGAGCTATGTCACCTGTATGGTGTTTTTAGTGTAGAGATATGTTACTTATACAGTGTTTTCAGTGTAGGGCTATGTTACCTGTACAGTATTTTTAGTGTAGAGCTATGTTATTTATAGTGTTATAAATGTACAACCAGTCCCGTTATATCATCTCACCTGTAATACTTGACCAGTCCCTAACTCAGCATATCTATCACCTCACCTGTAATATTTGACCAGTCCCCAACTCAGTATATCACCTCACCTGTAATATTTGACCAGTCCCCAACTCAGTATATCATCTCACCTGTAATACTTGACCAGACCCCAACTCAGTATATCATCTCACCTGTAATACTTGACCAGACCCCAACTCAGTATATCACCTCACCTGTAATACTTGACCAGACCCCAACTCAGTATATCATCTCACCTGTAAGACTTGACCAGCCCCAACTCAGTATATCACCTCACCTGTAATACTTGACCAGACCCCAACTCAGTATATCATCTCACCTGTAATATTTGACCAGTCCCCAACTCAGTATATCATCTCACCTGTAATACTTGACCAGACCCCAACTCAGTATATCATCTCACCTGTAAGACTTGACCAGCCCCAACTCAGTATATCATCTCACCTGTAATACTTGACCAGACCCCAACTCAGTATATCATCTCACCTGTAATACTTGACCAGTCCCCAACTCAGTATATCATCTCACCTGTAATACATGACCAGTCCCTAACTCAGTATATCATCTCACCTGTAATATTTGACAATCCATAATTCAGTGAATCACCTTACCTGTAATACCTGACAAGTGTGTCATTCCACCTGTAATGATTCACTAGCCACTTTGGTCATCCCACCTATGATAATTTACCAGTCACACCTTTGAGAAAAAAATATTACAAATAAAAAGTCTTTACAAATTATGGCGTAACATCATCCTAAACCTGTGCCATTACAGTCAACATTTCTACATAAAATACATGCACCTCCCAAGATTCTTGAGGATACTCAAAAATATGTGAATTTCAGGAATGTGAGATATTACGAGAACCTTTGGCATCTGGCACAGTCTCATCCACCTGTAAGATCTCAATCTTGTAGTTTTCTAAGAAAGAAGAAAACAATTAATGTCGGAATCCAATTCATGAGGCACAAGATGGCCGAGAGCTGATCTGCTTCAGCTAAAAATACAAAGATATGTCTGTTTGCGTACAAGCTTTTTATCGCCCACTAATTTGTTTGATTTTCTAGATTTGGCGGCAAGTCTACGGGGAAGTGTTAGAAATGGAGGGGGTGCTTGGTGAAATAATGTTTATATCCTGTACATAACACTACTGCATGAACGTCAGGAGCAGAGCAACTCTCCAGTATGTGTGTATGTTTCTTGTAGTCTTCTCTATACAGATGGAGAACACTCGTGGAGCTAGAGTCCTTGATTGGATTACTTGATGAGGTGCAAAGACTGTAAATGTATCTAGTATCTAGAACCATTGCTGAAAAGTGCTTCATTTGGGAATCTGCTTTTCCTTACATACTTGAATGTACCATGACAATGCGTTCTTCCAATTTAACTGCATAGGTGGATTCAGAGTCCCCCCCCCCCCCCTTTTTTTGTCCTGAAAGTTCATTAAATCAATGGCAAATCTATTTGGTCTGAGGTGAAAATGAGCTGTGCACCCCTCCTTTCTCAAAAAGCTGTATCTGCCCCTGAAATGTCTTTCAACTGAAATGGTCACGAAGTAACCTATTCTCCATCATTGCTCTTGCCAACTCATCTGTTTGTTCTTCCGTCTGGCTTGCTACCCACCCATTTGTTTGTTTGTTGAATAATGTTGAATAAACATTTTGAATTTTATAGTCGAAGTAACGTTTGGGTTTCCAGGGAAGATTAGCTCCCAGTGACCTGCGCTGGTTGTATGAGGTAACTACTGGATTGGGCGACTTGGTGGACATCGACATTCCACGATGGTGTAATCGGTGCTCACAATATCAACCACTGGATTTTTTACTTCTGTTTGGTTTGCATTGTCTGAGTGTCACTTGAACTTACAGTTTCGTGAAAGACAAATTGTATTTTCTTCCTTAATAGAAATAAGGGGCAATGGGTTAGCTTAGTGGTTAAAGCGTCTGCTTGACATGCTGAAGATCTGGGTTTGATTCCCCATGTGGGTACAAAGTGTGAAGCCCGTTTCTATTGTTCCCTGCCATGATATTGCTGGAATGGGTTCGATTCCCCACGTGGGTATGATGTATGAAGCCCGTTTCTATTGTTCCCTGCCATGATATTGCTGGAATGGGTTCGATTCCCCACGTGGGTACAAAGTGTGAAGCCCGTTTCTATTGTTCCCTGCCATGATATTGCTGGAATGGGTTCGATTCCCCACGTGGGTACAATGTATGAAGCCCGTTTCTATTGTTCCCTGCCATGATATTGCTGGAAGGGGTTCGATTCCCCACGTGGGTACAATGTATGAAGCCCGTTTCTATTGTTCCCTGCCATGATATTGCTGGAATGTTGTAAACTGCAGCGTAAAACCATACTCACTCATTCACTTAATAGAAATAAGGATCATTTTTTTATGTATTAATGTTCCTTAGTTACCTTGTCCTTGTAAAGGGTCAGCCTAGCTACAGATGTAGAACCTTCGAGACTGGTCAGATGACTGGTCAGATGACTGGTCAGCTAGGGAGTAGCTGCCTGCCCCTCATACATGCACCAGTTATTTGACACATTCAGCCAGTCTAGGCGACCTTCAGGTTGGGCTTGGAGTCACATTGAAATCTCTGCCCTTGTAATCCAAAATACGTTCCACCTTAGATGATGGAGAGGTGGCTGGATTCTGTTTTAGCTTTGCCTTGTGTGATGCATCAGTTCAGTGTGATATGTTAGAAGAAACAAAAATAAAAAAAGTTATGAACCGTTATGAGGAATGTGTTTGTTTCAAATTTGAATTATTTTGAAGTTAATTTGAAAATAGGATACTTTTGCCAATCAGTATTGGGACCTTGATTTCCATTCAAATTAGCTGGAATGCTGAGGAAGATAAG